TGTGGCCTTGGCCTTCTTAATACCAGCAACCAGCTCTTTTCTTGTCCTACTCAGCTCCTCTGAGTTTCCAGACCTGAAGGCAGTGTTCCTGGCTTCCAGCAGGGTACGCACCTCTGCATTCAGCCAAGGTTTTCTGTTTGCTTAGCTTTTAACATTTCTGATAGTGGAGATGGTTTCAGTACATGTACTAATGTAACCCAGAACTGAGGATATGTATTGGTCAAGATCAAGCAAACCTCCATTTTCAGCAGCTTCTCTGAAAACCTGCCAATCTGTTTGATCAAAATAATCTCTCAGTATGGGGCCACTGTCCTGGATCCAACATTTAACTTTCTTTTATACCGGTCTGGAGCATCTCAGCGGGGGCATGTAAGCAGGAGCCAGGAAGATTGAGATGTGGTCTGACAGTCCTAGGTGGGGGCGGGGTTCGGATTTTTTATGCATCTTTTACGTTCGTGTAAACACGGTCCAGCATCTTGTCTCCACGTGTTGGAATTGTCACATGCTGATTAAAGCTTGGGAGACAGTCCTTTAAAGTCTCCGGCTACAACGTAAAGAGCTTCGGGGTGTTTGCTCTGCAGCGAGCTGATGATATCATGTAAGTGATTCATTAGCATTAGCGTCCGGCGGAATGTAAACAACCGTGATGAAAGTCACTGTGAATTTGCGGGGTAGATAATGTGGCTGACATTTCACTGTTATTTGCTCCAAAGCCTTCGAGCATGAGCTATTTACAACAGTACAGTTCGTGAACCAACTTTTACTCACGTAAATGCACACTCTGCCTCCCCGTGATTTCCCCGTTAGCTCGCTGCAGCGGTCCGCTCGAAAAAAGAGTCTGTCATCCAGCTGGAAGACTGTATCCGGCGTTTCGCTTGTAATCCACGTTTCTGTGAGGCAAAGCACCGCACACTTCTTCATCTCTTCTGAGGCGCCCACTCTCAGACGAAGTAAATCCATTTTGTTGTCCAACGAGCGGACGTTCGACAGAAAGAGAGACGGCATGGGGAGTTTACCGGCTTTAGCGTTAGCTCGTGGCCTCACCATAACCCCCACCCGGCATCCTCTCCTCTTAAGCCGGGTGCAGAGCTTCCTCTTCTGCCCGCTGGAACACCTCTGCTGCAGCTTCCAGGTAGATGACTTTAAGATCTGCGTTCTGCCGAGCGTAGTTTTGAGTTTTTTGCTGATTTCTGCTATATTTCGTGGCAAATCCGCTCCTATTCTCATCAGTTCAGTTCGGCTATAGTTCACACGCATAAATCGTGCGGAGTCAGGCACAGAGTCAATATCAAAACTTCTAAAAACTGGGATGGTATCGGGAGCCTGTGAAGCTGCAACTGCTCTGAGTGCAGCCATTTTGGAAAGCATGTGTTCTCTGAATGGGGTACAAGTTATGACCCGAGCTGCAGAATTCTGGAGGAGTTTGAGTTTATGGAGAGTTTTATTTGGGAGAACAAAAAAAGAGAGTTGCAATAATCGATCCTGGAGGTGATAAGGCTATGGACAAGGATGGCAGCAGCATGAGGAGTAAGAAAGGGACGAAGTCGGTTAATGTTACATAAATGAAAGTATGCAGACCGGGTTATAGAATTAATATGAGATTGAAATGAAAGCGTATTATCAAGTATGACACCCTGACTCTTTACCTGAGGGGAAGGATGAACATGGGAGTTGTCAATATTGATGGAAAAACGCTGCGATTTGGTTAAAGTGGAGACTGTGCCAACAAGTAAAACTTCTGTTTTTTTACTGTTGAGTTTAAGAAAATTTGAGGAAAACCATGATCTAATTTCCATAAGACAGTCTGATAGGGAGGTAGGTGGAAGAGATGAATTGGGATTTGAGGAAATGTAGAGCTGGGTGTCATCTGCGTAACAGTGAAAATTGACATGTTTGCGGAATATGTGGCCAAGAGGGAGCATATAAATAATGAATAAAAGGGGCCCTAATACAGAACCCTGGGGCACACCTGCAGCAACAGGAAACAAACTTGAGGAATGGGTTTTAAATTGAATAAACTGAGTGTGGCCTGAAATATATGAATTAAACCAAGCAAGTGGAGTATGACTGATGCCAATGGATGCTAGTCTGTTCAGGAGGATATCATGAGAAATAGTGTCAAATGCCGCACTGAGATCAAGGAGGATGAGAATGTTGAGGAGATCAGAATCAGCTGCCATCAAAAAGTCATCGGTGATTCTTAATAAAGCTGTTTCAGTACTGTGGTGGGGGCGGAAACCAGACTGGAATTATTTGTAAAAATTATGTTTATTGAGGTGTGAGTGGAGCTGAGAGGCAACAACTTTCTCAAGGATTTTTGAAATAAATGGAAGATTAGACATTGGGCGAAGGTTATCAAAATTATTGGGATCTGAACCCGGCTTTTTTTTTTAGAATTGGACTGACAGAAGCTGTTTTCAGAGATGAAGGAACAATTCCAGTATTAAGGGAAGAGTGAATGATAGTGGTTATGAGAGGAACCAATGTGGGGAGACAAGCTTTAACAAACACTGTGGGAAGAGGGTCAAGCTGGCAGGTGGATGCTTTTGATTTATAAATAATATTTGTTACATCAGATATGGAAGGAAGGGTGAAACTTGAGAGTAAATGACAGGAGGGCAGCAGGGAAAACAGGGGGTCAGCTTCAGTGTTAGCAGCTCTTACAGGGTTAAGTAGTTGGTGGATATTGGAAATTTTGTCACTGAAAAAAGACATGAGAGAATTGCAAAAGTCAGCAGAGTACATGTGGGAGGGAAATGAGTCCAGAGACTTAGTAATTTTGGCAAACGGTGAAAACAGAGACTTGGAGTTACCTTCGTTAGAACTGATTAAACCAGAGTAGTACGCAGATTTAGCTGGGACAATGCATTCCTTACAAAACAAAATATGATTGTTATACATTTCTTTGTGTATAGTGAGTCCAGTTTTTTGAACAGGCGTTCCAATTGGCGTCCCTTGGCTTTGAGAAGATGCAGGTTGAACGTAAACCATGGTGCTGAGCGAGAAAATGAAACAGATCTGTGTTTGAGTGGAACAAATGTGTTAAGAAGGTTTTGGAGGTTGACATTATAGTAGGAAGTGAGTTCATCAGGGCTTGAAGAGCAGTGAATAGACGGAAGGTAATATTTAGCAGATGAGAAACTGTCAGGATCAATATCATTAATTTTCCTAAATGTAATGTCACGAGGAGTACAGGTTTTCAAAGCTATTATATTTACATCAAAAGAAATAAGCATATGATCAGAAGTGGGAAACAGATTGGCTTTGCAGTGAGTAGTGGTGACACCTTAACAATAAACTAAATCCAGAATATGACCTTTAGAATGAGTAGGGAATTTGATGTATTGCTGGAGTCCAAAACTATCTAGACAGGAAGTCAAATCTCTGGTGAGAAGATTATTGTCATTGTCCATGTGAATATTAAAGTCACCAACAATAATCATATTGGGAGAGAGAACAGAAAGATGAGTGAGAAAAGCAGCAAAGTCATACAAAAAGTCCTTATTTGGCTTCGGTGGTCGATAAACAGTACATAAAATAGTAGGAGTAGATTCAGGGAGCTGAGATGCAGTGTATTCAAATGAGTGGAAGAGGGAGGCAGAGACAGGGAGAACTTTCCAGTGCTTCCGATGAATTATTGCAAGACCACCGCCCCTCCCCGAGTTGTGGGGGTGACAGATGTAAACAAACTCAGGTGGGGTCAACTCGTTGAGAGAAACAAAGTCGTTGGGCTGTTGCCATGTTTCAGTCAAGCAAAGAAAGTCCAACTTAAGGTTGAGAAGGAGATCCTGGATGAGATGTCCCTTTCCAGTGAGAGAGCAGACATTTAAAAGGCCGAAGTTTATGTTGGAGTTGCGATGCTTGATGATAGTGTTAGCCCACCTAGCCAGGTGGGCTAACACACTGCGGTTGACAGCCCGGTCAGAATTACGGGGAGGACGACGAGTTCTGGACCAGAAGGATTCTATGGAGTCAGTGTCATTGGTATTAAAGTTTCGCCGGGACCCTCGGTGGATGTACTTTCGGCGGGGATTAAAAGCAATGTCCAGATGGAGGTGAAGCGCCACAGGTGAAGGGACAGCCAGGTGGAAGCGGAGTCGCAGAAGCTCTGTAGCAGTGTACTGAAGGAGAGCAGACACCGGGTGGTGGACGATGGATAAAACAGCCCAGGTGAGGACAGACCACACACACACCCTGTGGATCCACATCATAATCTGTCCATTGTCAAACAGCGCAGACACTCTACAAACTTTGCAAAAATCACAAAAATAGCAGCTGGTGAGCAGCGGCAGCCAGACGCACCAGCATTCACTCAACCCACCACGATACAAAGATACTGTATATATATATATATATATATATATATATATATATATATATAAAGGTGTTTTAAACCCTTCCCACACACTTCCAATATTCTAAACAATGTTTCTAAACTCTAAACGCTCTAAAAGAGCACAGCATGTCATGATTTCAACTCTGCTTCCGCTGCTCTCTGCCATCTTGCAAGCACTCTCGGCCACGCCCACTTTGCTCTGCATGAGATCAGCTGATCAGCTGCAGGAGGAAGTTTGTTCTTCAATGTGAGCTCCACAGAGGTGCTAAATAATTTAAAATAATTAATTTTAAATCAAAATTCCATGTCGATCGTGCGGCTCATCCATCAATCAGCCAATTGTGTGTCATGTCAAATCTTATTTTGAAAAACGTGGTAGAGCGAGTCCGCAAAAAGCAAACCACGAAGTAATAATAATAATAATAATGTCATCACAATGTCAGCACTGTATGTTTCCATACAATGGCGAAATTAGTCTCTGCATTTAACCCATCCACCACCAGGTAGTGCAGTGGGCAGCTATTGAAAGCGCCCGGGGGCATTTTGGGGATGAGGCGTAGCGAGGGACTATTATATACAGGAGAGTCAGTGTTATGATGAAATTTGCCTCACTACAGCTTTACATTGCAGTAGACTGATGAATTGTTCTGTATGATTTTTGTAGGTTGTGTACTTCACAGCAACATTTCCATACGTTGTTCTATTTATCTACTTGATTCGTGGCATGACTCTTCACGGCGCTGTTAATGGAGTCATATACATGTTTACACCTAAGGTAAGATCATATGGGAAATTAGACTGAAGGAAAAATAAAACCTGTTTTTATTTTTACATGCCTGTGGTGTCTGCATAGAGTTTTCTGCCTTTATATGTATTTTTGTGTCTTTAGATGGAAGAACTTGCCAAACCTACTACTTGGATCAATGCAGCAACTCAGATCTTTTTCTCCCTGGGTTTGGGTTTTGGATCACTCATAGCTTTTTCCAGCTACAACGAGTACCACAACAATTTTGAACGACAGGCCATCATTGTCTCTCTTATTAACAGTGCAACATCCGTCTTTGCTTCTATTGTCACCTTTGCCATCTATGGATTCAAGGCAACTGTCAACTATGAGAACTGCCTGAAGAGGTACGTGTATATTGTTGAAAGTGTAGTTAGTCTAACACCTGTGCATAGATACATTTTATATTATTTTTATATCTTTATGAATGTATGGGCTTCACTTGCTCTGGCCTGTACCTTGTCAGTTATAACAACAATCAGATCAAGAGTTTTTGGAGTGCTATGTTGTTGTTTTTTTGTAAGTTTTTCAGTAAGCAGTACTTACTGTCAGACTGAATAAGTCCATCCCATCTGCCTTGTTACCACTTAAGTAAAAGGTGTAAGATACATCACAAAAAGGTTCAATCATATCATCTGGACAGTTTCTTTTTTGGAAGAAAACATTTCATCTTTCATCCGAAGGACTTCATCAGCCTGAGGCCTGCCAACAGGATCTGTCATATTAAGTAGCACCTTACTGACGTGTTTCAAACCAGTCTGCTGTTGAGCTCCCAGGCAGCATGGCTTTACACATGCAAAATGGAGGATCATCAGTCTAAAAAGGGGTGTCAAACTCACTTACAAAAGGTGGCCAAAATTAAAACCTTTTTCAAACTAAGGGCCAATTTTAGAATCTACATGAACTCAAGTTAGAGACCCAGCATCTTTTCTTGGTGGCAGGTTCCTCAAAAAAGAGTTTGATTGGTCTCATTTGACATTCTCTGTTGCACTTTTGACTTCATAATTCAATTCAATTCCATCCATCCATCCATTATCCTTACCTGCTTGTTCCATTTTGGGTCACGGGGGTCGTCGGTGCCCATGTCCAGCAATCACTGTGCAAGGGGTCGGGTACAACCTGGACGGGTCGCATGTCCATCACAAGGCCACATAGAGACAAACGAGACAAACAACCATTCACTCTCTCACTCACACCTAGGGACAATTTAGAGTTACCAATCAGCCTAACATGCATGTTTTTGGTCTGTGGGAGGAAACCGGAGTACCCGGAGAAAACCCACACATGCACGGAGAGAACATGCAAACTCCACCCAGAAAAGCCCCTGTACCGGGGTTTGAACCAAGGACCTGCTCACTGAGAGGCAGCAGCTCTACCAGTTGCGTCACCGTGCTACCTCAATTCAATTCAGTTTATTTATATAGCGCCAAATCACAACAAAGTTGTCTCAGGGCACTTTACAGGAGACATTCACATACATAAAAGCTAATTAGTAAAGTTCTCTATCTAAGGAATCCAGCAGACAAGTTGAATCTTGGCTTCGTTGCAGTCTCCCATCCTGAGTTAGGGCCAGCTTGGGTTTCCTGAGCTGTCCCTTAGTTATGCTGCTATAGGCTTAGAGTGCTAGAGGACAAACTGACCACAATTTTCACTCTGCTACTGTCTTTACTTACTCTGCTCAACCTGTTTTGTATTTGTAATTATTTTTTCTATCCTTAACATGTGGGTTTTTTTGTCTTTCAGATACACCTGGACCTACCATTCTATGTTCGTCTGTCTCTCCTTCCTGTCCTCTCAACCAGCTGGTCAAAGCAGATGGCTGCTTGTCCTGAGCCTGGTTCTGCTGGAGGTTTCTTCCTTCTAAAAGGGAGTTTTTCCTTTCCACTGTTGCCATTTTGCTTGCTATAGGATTTAGCAAAAAGGAAAGTCTTAAGCCTAGTTTTAAAACTGGATAATGTGTCAGCCTCACGGACAGAGATTGGAAGTTGGTTCCACAAGAGAGGTGCCTGATAACTGAAAGATTTTCCTCCCATTCTGTTTTTGTAAATTCTAGGAACCACAAGTAAACCTGCAGTCTGAGAGCGAAGTGCTCTGTTAGGAAAATATGGAACAATAAGATTTGTAATATAAGATGGAGCCAGATTGTTGAGAGCTTTGTAGGTTAGAAGTAAGATTTCAAATTCTATTCTGGATTTGACAGGGAGCCAATGGAGAGAAACTAAAATTGGAGAGATATGATCTCTCATACTAACTCCGGTTAAGACTCTGGCAGCAGCAATTTGGATCAATTGAAGACATTTTAAAGGCGTATTTGGACATCCAGATAATAAACCATTGCAATAGTCTAGTCTAGACATGACAAATGCATGGACCAGTTTTTCTGCATCATTTTTAGATAAGACTTTTCTAATTTTAGGGATATTACGCATGTGAAAGAAGGAAGTTCTAGAAAAGTTTTTAATGTGGGGGATAAAAGACATGTCCTGATCAAAAATAACACCAAGATTTTTAACATTAGAGCTGGAGGACAGATTAATGCCATCTAAGGAGGGAGAAAGACTGAAAAATTAATTCCTAAGGTGCTCAGGTCCAAAAACCAAAACCTCAGTCTTGTCTGTGTTCAACAGGAGAAAATTAAAGGTCATCCAGGTTTTTATGTCTTTAAATCATGCTTGTAGTCTAAGTAGCTGATTGGATTCATTGGATTTAATGGACAAATATAATTGTGTGTCATCAGCATAACAATGAAAATTTATCCCATGCTGTTTAATAACTTGACCTAATGGAAGCATATATAAAGTAAAAAGTATTGGCCCAAGCACTGAGGAACTCCATGACTAACTTTGGTGTATGAAGAAGATTTATTATTTACATTTACAAACTGGAATCTATCAGATAGATATTGGATATTGGATGTACATCTACAATTATTTATAATGTGGAGTCAACCTGATTCAAGATGGCTGCTCCAGGCAACTTAAGCTATAATCAAGCTAAAATTAAATAGAGTCCCAGCTGGTCAAAGCAGGTGGCCGCTTGTCCTGAGCCTGGTTCTGCTGGAGGTTTCTTCCTGTTAAAAGTGAGTTTTTCTGTTGCCATTGTGTTTACTCAGGATGGGAGACTGTGATGACGTGAAGATTCAATGAGTCTGCTGCTTCCTTAGATAGAGAATGTTACTAATTGTTTTTTCTTTGTATGTGAATGTTTCCATAAAATGCTCTGAGACAACTCTCTTCTGATTTGTTGCTATATAAATAAACTGAATTGAATTAATTTACAGCACGTACAGACATGTAAAAACACTGTCGATGTCTAAGGAGCTTAGAATGAAAATGATTGAGCATCATGTTAGAGGTAAAGGCTACAAGACCAACTCCAAGCACACCATCAGTCAATGAGCCAAAGTGGATTTACTGAAAGATGATAAAGGAGGACAACAAATAATAAAAAAGCAAGAGAGGAATCCATATTGACAAGCCAGAAAGCTTCTACGAGATTGTTCAGTTGGTCAGCTTTTTGGCAATAAGTCCCATCAGCTGTATGCTTACAGACAGAAGTGAACAAACTCTATGCTGTCATTCTTCAAGGGAGGGAGGAAGGAAGGAAGTGCGGGGGGGAAGAGAATTCATTTTTATTTTCCATCCATCCATCCATTATCTTTTTACCCGCTTCTTCCATTTTGGGTCACTGGGGTCACCGGTGCCCATGTCCAGCAATCACTGTGCGAGGGGCGGGATACACCCTGAACAGGTCGAAAGTCCATCACAGGGACACATAGAGACAAACGAGAAGAACAACCATTCAATCTCTCACTCACACCTAGGGACAACTCAGAGTTACCAGTCAGTCTAATATGCATGTTTTTGGTCAGTGGGAGGAAATCGGAGTACCCGGAGAAAACCCACACATGCATGGGGAGAACATGCAAACTCCACCCAGAAAGGCCCCCGGACCGGGGTTTGAACCAGGTACCTGCTCGCCGAGAGGCAGCAGCTCTACCAGTTGTGCCACCGTGCTGCTTTATTTTTATTTATCAAATAAAATTTGGATATAAAACTTATTTCAGCCTAGAAAATTTAAAAAAGTTATTGCTGAGGTTTGCGTTAATAAAGATGTTTTCTCCCTGTTTTTAGGATGCGCACTCTGCTGCTAAACACTTTCAGCCTGTCAGAGGACAGCATTACTGTGGACAATGTTTTTGAGTGGGTTGAGAGGCTGAACATAACTTATCCTGAGCAGTTTGCTCAACTTAGTGGCAGACTGGAAGAGTGCAAACTCGAGGAGGAACTAAACACCGTATGTAGTTCTACTTTATAACACCTTGATATTTTAGACATGTCAGTAGAAGATAACTGCAGTTTCACATTTTAAAGGCAATTCAATTCAAATTCAATTCAATTTAAAAATACTTTATTAATCCCAATGGGAAATTAATTGTTGTAGTTCATCATCCTGGTTTCATTAGAGTTGTTATAGACGCTGATGGCTTTGGACAAGAAGGATCTCTTGTAGCGGTCTATCCCACAGCAGATCCAAAGATGCTGACTGCAGATGCCGATCCATCCATCCAGATCCAGCAGACCTCTCTGTCCTCTTGGGTAGCAGGACTGCCTGAATGCCAGGCAGAACTCCCCCCTGAGCGATGGCCATTTCTCCCAGCAGCCTGCAGAGCCCCTTGTCGCTGCAGACTTAACTGCAGGTGCCAGGGGACGATTTTGCTCTTCCCCTGTCACGAGCTGCGTTTCCTGCTATCTCCAAGATCTCTGCGGTCAGGCACTCGAGCATTGCCTCCAGGTAGATGAGAATGCATCTACAGCACCTCCTTTTAAACTCATTTGGGATTTGGGGCTGTAGTTGAGATTTTTTTTTTAGCATTGAGATGTTAATCAGCAGCTCCCAGCTGTAGAAAACTGTCTTGTTGTTATTGTTACGCATCATAACAAATGTCCAAAAGTAAAAAAGTTTCAGTAAAGATCCTTACAGCTGCACAGCATCTGATACCAGAGGAAGTAATCATCCAAAAAAGCAATATACATCTAGAAAAAAGTAATTAAAAATTTCAAAAGCAAAATCTCAGAATTAATGTAAGAGAGCTGCTTCAACATGGAGCCACCCTGAGCAGCGCAATTCTAGAACATAACAACAAACAAACAATACAGAAACAAGACAAACAATACAAACAGAACAATAATCCTGGCAGTGGAATATGATGGACAATGTGCTGGTTAGCACAGTTTGTTGGAACTTACTAAGTTCTAACCAGACTTTTTGTGTGCAGTTTCATGTTTGGGTTTTTACATCAAAATGCTCTGATCTGTGAAGGTAAAGTGAAAAGATAAAGGCCCAAGAAGCACATGATTAGATGACAGACAGATCCTCTCATTATCCCCCTCGCCACCTCAGATCTCACAGACCTCTTTTGCTTCAAACAACATGCAAAATGTGTCACAAAAGCCTACGAGCAAGTGTTGTGCTCACCTAGTGGCAGATACAAGAAGTTGCACCTGAAATACGAGGTACACCTGCGCCTACATCTGGACCTGCCATTCTGTGTTCGTTTGTCTCTCCTTCCTGTCCTTTCAAACCCAGCCGGTCAAAGCAGATGGCCGCTTGTCCTGAGCCTGGTTCTGCTGGAGGTTTCTTCCTGTTAAAAGGGAGTTTTTCCTTTCACTGTCTCCTTTGTGCTTGCTCAGGGTGGGAGACTGCAACAAAGTGAAGATTTAATGTTTCTGCTGCTTTCTTAGATAGAGAACTTTAATAATTGTATTATATAATGTATCTGAATGTTTCTGTTCAGTGCCCTGAGACAACTTTGTTGTGAATTGGTGCTATATAAATAAACTGAATTGAATTGAGTTGAAATACAGATGCAAGTTAAACATTACCCACAAATAAAATATAAATCATGATTCTGTAGCTCACTATATTCATATTACATTGTACACATTTGGAACTTTTTTCAGAGAACATGTTTATAGAACGTTTTTTGCTGGCGAAATGTTGAAACAAGTGCACATTTTACCTACAAGTGTTTAAATCAAAGCTTTAGGCTCACAGGTTTTTCAACACATTTGCCTCAACACAAGCACTTTTTTATTTGAATACATTGTGTGCAGGTTCTAGTAAAGAACCCCTGATGGACTCAGATTTTTACTTTAAAGCTGTAGAAATAAAACATCCCAATGATGAACAAATCCTTTGATTTCATAAGATCATTCTAGTTCACAGAAACACTTTGTATAAAAAATAGTTTTATTGTTTTTAACGAGTCTGACTCATTAATTAGAGACAATGAGTTCTACAAAGTTTTGTAGATTTAAAATGAGCCCACATTGCATGGCTCTTACAGAAACCTGCAGTTAACTTCATCCTGAAACATCAAACAATGTCTCTGCTCCTTCAGAAAACAAAAGTCCTACATTTTTTTCTCCAACGTCTGTTGGTTTGTTTCAGGCAGTAGAGGGGACGGGTCTGGCCTTCATTGTGTACAGTGAAGCCATAACCAACATGCCGCTGCCTCAGCTGTGGTCAGTGCTGTACTTCATAATGCTCCTGCTGTTGGGAATGGGCAGCATGCTGGGAAATGTCACAGCCATTATCACCCCACTACGAGACTTCAAGGTGATGTCCCGCATGAGCAACGAGCTCTTCAACGGTAAGGAGCAGAATGTTTGTGGACTTGAGCGTCATGTCCAGTTCTTGTGCTGTTCATACCAGTTGCATCATATTGGCATCTTTAGTAAGTTAGCACTAAAGCCCTGTCCACAAAGGAATGGCTTTTTGTGAACACACTAAAGTTTTTTGTCCATGGAGCAAAGAAATTAGGAATACTCTTTGTCCACCCATCCGTGGATGTTGTAAACAGGATCCCTCTATCGATGTACAAACTTCCATTTTAATATCAAGGGTCAAGGTTCTTTATTGTCATTCACAACACTCGCAGTAAGTCAGGTGGTGCTGGTCCTGATGAAGGTTACAGTACTTGGTTGGGTTCTGGTAGTTAACTGTAACATATTTTTGTGGGTTAAGTGATTCGAACAGTTTTAATAAAGCATCTAATTTGCATAAAAATGCTTATTCAACACCAGCAGATGCTCTGGACTGAATGTAGACATCAGTTATTGTCGATAGCAGATATAAGAAGTTTAATTTAAATTTTTTCCAGGTATTGTTTGTGTATTCTGTTTGCTGCTGGGTCTGGGCTTCACCACTACATCAGGAAACTACTGGTTCACCATGTTTAACGACTACGGAGCCACTTTCTCTCTACTGTTCATCGTCCTCATTGAAGTCATCACCGTCAGCTACTATTATGGGTTCAAAAGGTTTGTTTCACTTTAGATGATAAAGTCTCTGCTGTTTAGTGTTGATGAAACGAGTGGCTTCTGTCACATGTTGAAATTGATAAAAATATCTGCACCCCAACGGAGCTCCCACTGACGTTTATTAAGTGTGATGCTACTGCCTTTCTTTAGAATAAACAGTCCTCATCTTAAAATAACCACTACATACACATAAATACACACACAAATGTTTTTAATAATGTCTAAAAGTTATTTGAAATATTAAAAATGCACATGAAAGTACATAGAAAAGTCCACCCATCCATTATCAGAACAAGAGGAATCTTGTTCTGAAGTTGGGTCTTGGGGGCAGCAGCTTGAGCTGGGAGGTCCTGACATCTCTCTCCACAGCCTCTTCCAGCTGTTCTGGGAGGACTCCAAGGTGTTCCCAGGCCAACTGAGAGACATATGCCCCTTTTCCACTGTCACGGCGCGGGTCAAATTTTTTTTTTCATTCAACCTTTATTTAAACAGATAAATCACATTGAGCCTTGAAGACTCATTTACAAGTGAGACCTGTTTTGACAGACAAAAACTGGTTAACTGGACACATGTAGGAGTTGGAGACGAAAAAAATTCCTATGAGACTTTTTTTTCCTGCCTGAGAAAAAAAAAACCTCTAATATTAAAAAAACACTTTGCACAAACAGCACATAGTGACGTAGACATTCTGCAGACGGAGGAGACGAGAGTGGTCAGCAATGTTCATAGATGCTCTTGAGGTCACTGTAAGAGTTCTGATAAGGATGGAAAATCAGTCAATGTCCTCCGGTGAAATCCATAAACATTCTCGAGGTATGTTGAGGAATGGCCAAGAATAATGTCTATGAGAATCCAAGAGTCCTGAAATGATGACAAAGTTTATTCAGCTGGTTCCATCTGGTTATCAGTTGGAAATTCCTCAGGGTGGGGGTGGTGAGCGTCAGATCACATGTTCTCCAGGCAAATTCAGATAAGATGGCCTTCAAGGCCAGCCAAGAGAGCCAAATTCAGATAAACACGCAGTTGTTTTGGGGACAGGCAGAATACATGGCCACACACAGAATACATGGCCACACTGATGGAACGTGACTGAGTAAAATCCCCAAGATCTGATCCATTCAGCCCAAAGCATTTGAGTCCGGGTACTCGAGACACGAACCAAGCCATCATAAAGGCAAGCAGCGTGATCGGGTCCAAATTTACTGCCGACAACTTCCTTGATTGGTTTTCGTATTTTTGGTGTTTTTTTCATTTCTCATCTGTGACATCAACGCTCTGCTGGTGTATGAACGAAAACAACTTTTGGATCTTCGACTTTGTGGCACCAATGTCGCTTATTTTGATCAATACAAGCGTAACTCTTGACCCCCCCCCCCCCCCCCGGTCCCCCCACTGCTGGCGGACGTGCCTGCTTACCTGCAGCGAGGCGCACACCTGCCTCCCCGGAGATGTCGCTCCAGACGCCGTGGAAAACGCGCTGGCCGGCTGGTGAAATTTAACGCCCTGCTTGCTGCCTCTGAATCATCCTCTCCAGCTGATGGTGAGCGTTTCCACCTCTGCTCCTGGAGCTGTACAGATCCTGTGGCGCACTGTCTGGTCCCGCTGTCGGGGTCCCATCATCACACTGGGCCCGTGCGCGGCTGGGTTTCCTGTCGGAGGCACGCGTCTAACTCTGCAAATCTGAGGCCGCTGGACTGGACACTGCAACCATCTCCTCCTGTGGTGGATTCTACGAGGATGGCCCTGATAAATGCCAGATCGCTGGTTAATAAAACTTTTATTTTGAACAACTTTTTCTGCTGCAACCGACTGGACTTTCTTTTCATCACTGAGACTTGGATCTGCCCTGGTGAGTTCAGTGTTTTTCTGGAATTACTGCCTCCGGATTGTTCTTTTTTCAATGCTCCAAGGACAACTGGCCGTGGTGGAGGATTATTGGCTGTTTTTAAGAAACATTTGCACTGCAGACAGCTCCATGGTTCAGCTAATTATTCGAGTTTTGAACTGCTCTGTTGTGAGCTGGGCCGCTCCAACCCAGTTCTGTGTGCTATTTTTTACAGACCCCCCAGATACCATAAACAGTTTTTAAATGAACTATCTGACTTTCTAACTGGTATTCTGCTCCATTATGATAGGGTTTTGATTTTAGGAGACTTTAATATCCACGTGTGCTGCCCTGATAAACCATTAGCTCAGGACTTTCTAGACCTCATCCAGTGCTTTAACTTTGTTCAGAGTGTTGTTGGTCCGACTCACCAGCAGGGCCACACTCTTGACTTAGTTTTAACACATGGTTTGTCTGTTTCTGATTTAGAAATTGGTGACACTGTTTGTTCCGATCACAAACCGGTTTTATTCAACACCTCTTTGATTTGTGAACCTGCATCTCCCCCCACACCCAAGCCTTGTAGGATTTTTAACCCTTCCACCGCCACACTCTTCTCTTCCATCTTTGCTGTTAATTCTGTTTCAGACTCTGAACTCTCTGCGGGTCTTACTACAAAGGAGTTGCTTTCTCAGCATCAGGAGGCGTGTGTACAGATCCTGGACTCAGTCGCCCCGTTAAAGCTCAGGAATCGAAAACGCACGCCCCACCCTTGTTAGGAGTTGTGCTTTCCCTGGTCTCTGTCTCCCTCTAGTGTTCCATATTTGTCTGTTCCCCCTCTGATGTCTGCACCTGTGATGTTTCACAGGTGTTATGTGTTAGTCTTGTTAGTGTGTGTGTATTTAAGTCTGTTTGCCTGCGTCCCTCATTGTCTGATCATTGTGTCTCACTGTGATGCCTGTCCTGCTCCTCGTGCCCTGCTCCTCGTGCCCTGCTCCTCGTGTCCTGCTCCTTGTGTCCTGCGTCCTGTCCCGTGATTTATAAATCATCACAGAATGACCAGACCAAACCAAGACCCAGCAGGCAGCCCGACTCTCACTGCTCTGTCCCTGGAAGACAAGCTGCGGGGTCCTTTTAGAGACTTTGAGCCTCCAGCTACACCCCCGGCGCCTCCTCGGTTCCTGCTCCTGGCTCCTGAGGGTCTCACAGCTGCAGCCCCTGTGGTCGCTTCCATGCCTACTACAGTCCCCGTAGGTTTTCCATCTCTTACAGCCTCTGCATCATCCATGCTGTGTGAGGACCCAACCTGTCCTGAGCCCACAGACCCAGAAAACGTCTACTCCAGATCCTGTTGCTGCATGCAGCCCCCGAGGTGGATCCCACGCTGCACGCAGCCCCTGTGGTGGATCTCACACTTCTCCTGTTCCGAGGGGGTCCCGGTGGACGCTCCTCACTTCTCCTGCTCCGAGGGGGTCCCGGCGGACGCTCCTCACTTCTCCTGTTCCGAGGGGGTCCCGGCGGATGCTCCTCACTTCTCCTGCTCCGAGGGGGTCCCGGCGGACGCTCCTCACCTCTCTTGTTCCGAGGGGGTCCCGGCGGATGCTCCTCACTTCTCCTGCTCCGAGGGGGTCCCGGCGGACGCTCCTCACCTCTCTTGTTCCGAGGGGGTCCCGGCGGATGCTCCTCACTTCTCCTGCTCCGAGGGGGTCCCGGCGGACGCTCCTCACCTCTCTTGTTCCGAGGGGGTCCCGGCGGA